CTCGAGAGGTTTTTTTAGTGTTTTGAGCTTTTCGTAACTTGTTTTGGCGGGAGGGGAGGGGGGTTAGACATGGATGGAGAGGCTACTTCTTGGATCAGGAGGGCAAATTTTTGTCATACTGTTTATTATCGTATGTCAAGCTTAGAGTCTGTCCAAGAGAGGACTTCTGGATTGAAAAGAATACCTCTGAGTACACCATCGGATTTGAACGCACTTGTAGCCAATTCGCAGGGTACGCAACAGCCGATGTGTTTGGATTGTGGTAGTTCTGAAATACTGAGAAATCCAGTCACCAACAAAAAGAGGTCTGTTTCTCCTTCGCCTCAGATGGCTCTTCCTGATTCTTTTAAGGAATCAAAGTCTGATATGAAGATATTTTCTACTCCACATCCTACAAGAATGGAACCCGAGAAGGGAACGAAGGCGAAGTTGTCCCGCAAAGATTCCTTTGAGAAAATATCGTTCAATCTACGGCCTCTATCACACTCAGGTCCTATTAGGGATCTTGGTACGCTGAAGATTCAAGAGGGGTCAAAGAGCAAGAAAGAGAAGAGGTCTTCAAAGTCTTTTAGTTATGGAGGTTCTAAAGTAAGTGCAATGGGAGGGCTTGACGAATACCTCATTGATACCTCTAAGATGTCCTATGGGAATAGGTTTGCACAAGGGAGATATAGCCAAGTTTACCATGGGGAATACAAAGGTGAAGCTGTTGCTGTGAAGATTACCGAAGCGCCTGAAGATAGCGAAGACAAATTCTTGGGAGCTCGTTTGGAAAAACAGTTTACCAAGGAAGCCACTCTTTTATCTCGATTAAGCCATCCTAATGTTGTTAAGGTAAGTTATATTATGTGATAGGTTATGCTATATGAATGATGTCTTTGGTGTGCTGAATTTTCATTGTACGAAACCGAAAAACACATCTTCGTGGTTTGCTTGACTTTTCTTCTTTTATTGCTTATGTCCTTAAAACAGTTCGTGGGAATTAATAGTGGAAATTGTATCATCACGGAGTATTTGCCGCAAGGGTGTTTAAGATCATATCTGCAGAAGTTCAAGCATAAGTCCCTTCCTTTGCAACAGGTAATTGAGTTTGGTCTAGATATTGCAAGAGGAATGGCATATATTCATTCAAGAAAGATAGTGCATCGGGATCTTAAGCCAGAAAACGTGTTGATTGACAAAGACTTTAATTTGAAGATCGCTGACTTTGGCATAGCGTGCGAGGAGGAGTACTGTGTGATTTTGGGGGCTGAGACAGGAACTTTTAGGTGGATGGCACCTGAAGTATTAAGAAAGAAACCACACGGACATAAATCCGATGTTTATAGTTTTGGACTCGTTTTGTGGGAAATGTTAGCTGGAGCAACCCCATATGAGGAGATGACTCCTTACCAAGCTGCTTTCGCAGTCATGCAGAGGGTAAATCATCCTGCATCTCCTTACTTATTTCATGATCGTGATCTTGCATAGATTGAATAGTTTTAGAATAACCGTTGATTTACACGAATGTTAACCATTTTGCAATTTTGTGTTGATATTTGATCAGAACATCAGGCCGGTTATACCGAGTGATTGTCCAGCGGCCATGAAAGAGCTGATTGAGCAGTGTTGGTCGGAGGAAACAGACGAGAGACCAGAATTCTGGCAGATTGTGAAAGTGTTGGAACAGTTTGACAAGTCTCTGAAAAGCAAGGGGAGGCTCGATCTCATGCCGAGCCAGATCTGTCCAGAACGAAAGAAAGGTCATAAATACTGGATTAAGATATTCGGGTCAATCCACCACCACAGCAGCAGCAACAGCAACACCTTAGTAGGCTCAGCCTTGCCTAAGCCTAAATTCGCTTGAGAGATTCTGTGAGTCTCATTTTGTGAATATATGTAAAAAAGGCCAGTGGTTATGTTTTTGTTAATCATCTGTCTCTGTTTGCTTTGATTTGGTGAGGACTCCATTATAGACTAGGGGTGGAATTATTATCCGGGATCCGAGATCCGATCCGTTATCCGTTCGGAATCGCTCTGAAACTTAGGATATCCGGAGAGCCCGGATCCGGATAAGGATAGTAAAATCTAGGATCCGTGAAAAGAGAATCCGGATCTGGATAGCAAACTTTTAAGGTCCGGATATCCGAATCCGGAATCGAACGCATTAAATATATTAAAAACATATATATTATATATCTATTAAGCTAATTTTATATAAATAAATATATATAAAAATTGATTTTAATTCTTTTTATAATAAATTATATTTATAATGAAAAATACCATTAAAATATTAACTAATAATTTTTAAAAATATATTTTATTTATTTATTCATTATTTTAATTATTTTTTAATATTAATTTCGAATTCGGATCCGGATTTTTGGCTGGATATCTAGAGTCTGAATATCTGGAGGTCACAGATCCGGATAATTTTTCCACGGATCCGACGATTCCGGATACCTTCAAATTCCAAGATATCCGGAATGGTTCCACCCTATTATAGACAACCTCATTTGGTTTTGGCTTGGTTTTTTGTTAAGCCATATTTTTCTTGATATTAATTTGTTTTGTGGTACGAATAGTGAGAGATTGTTCTATGTATTTTTGGCCATTTGTTTTGTGAGTAATCATACTGAAGAAAGAAAACAATTTAAAGATTGAATAGTCTGGATATGAAAGCAAATACATATTACAGTCACACCCACAATCTGTTCGACGAAATTAAAACCCTAAATTCACTAAGAGACTCATAGTTGTAGAAGATTAAGAAGAAACTCAGACACCAGTAGATCCGAAACCTCCTTCACCACGAACAGTAGAGTCCAAATCCTCAACCTCAATGACTTCAGGCGTCACGATCTTCTCGATAATCAGCTGCGCGATTCGATCTCCCAACTTGACCTCGAAATTAACATCCGAATGATTGAACAAAATCACACCAACCGGTCCTCTGTAATCAGCGTCGATTACTCCTGCTCCGACATCGATCGAGTGTTTCCAGGCGAGACCAGATCTCGGTGCGATTCTCGCGTAGGTTCCTTCAGGGACAGCGATGCTGAGATCTGTCGGGATAAGAGCCTTGCCTCTCGCCGGAACTTTCGAATCAACCGCACTAGAGAGATCGTAACCAGCAGAGAGAGACGAACCTCTTGTAGGCAAAACAGCTTTCTCAGAGAGTTTCTTCACTTTGAAGAAAGGCGCAGAATCGCCATGGATTCCGTTTCGGTCGAGCTTTTGGAGTTTAGCCAACGGCTCCTTGACTTCGGGACTGTTGATCTTCGTCTCTACGCAAGCCATTGTTGGAAATGAAAGACGAGTTTTCGAATTCAGTGAGTTGCAGAGAAACCCTAATTTCAATTGAGGTCGACTTGTTCTTGTGGTAAAGAAGCGACTCGCTTCCGCCATTAATGTAGACATTTCCCTACTGAGCCAGTGGCGCCAAATTTTCCCTCCAACCAAAACTTTTTTTTATCAGTTCGATGGGCTTTATCGATCGGCCCACTAGCCCAATTCTTATATCCAAATTGAAATTTGGGTTATGAATTTGTGATTCTTCCTCATAAACCCTAATTTCGATTTCTTCAACATTTGCTGGTTAATCCTCGTATTGCATTGTCATGTTATCTTTGATACTCCATGGAAGAAGGTCGGTGGAGTTGCAGAAATGGCGTATCTGAGAGTATCAGTGAGCATTGTGCAAAAGGCATTTGCTTTATCCAACTCATTCTCCTCTGCTGCAACTGTGAGCACTGAAGGAAATACTTTCACTGTCTCTTATCTCGTCGAATCTTTGGGTTTAGCTACAACACTCGCAAAATCCATCTCAAGGAAAGTGAGCTTCGAAAACAAGGTAAATCCAGATTCCGTTTTGAATCTTCTTAGAAGTCATGGCTTCAAAGATTCTCAGATCTCCGGGATTATTACGACTTACCCAGAATTGCTCATAGCAGATGCTGAGACATGTCTTCGTCCCAAGCTTCAGATTTTGCAGTGCAGAGGAGCTTCAAGCTCTGAGCTCATAGAGATTGTTTCAAAAGTTCCGAAAATCTTGGGAAAGAAAAGGGAAAAATCTATCAGCTTATACTATGATTTCGTCAGAGACATTATGGAAGACGGTAAGAGTTCAAAGTACGAAAAGTTAGATCATTCTTGGCCTGAAGGTAAGGACGGTAATAAAGTCCGAAATGTATCGGTTTTGAGAGAATTAGGAGTGCCTGAGAAGTTGTTATTCCCATTGCTCATTTCCAATTGTCAACCTGTTTGTGGAAAAGAGAGATTCGAAGAAACACTCAAGAAAGTCGTTGATATGGGTTTTGATCCGACCAAGTCAAGGTTTGTGGAAGCTCTGCACGTTATSTACGAAATGAGCGACAAAACGGTAGAAGAGAAAGTAGCTGTCTATAAAAGGCTAGGCTTTAGTGAAGACAATATATGGGCAATTTTCAAGAAGTGGCCTTTCTTTCTGAAATTATCCGAGAAGAAGATAGCTAACATGTTTGAAGCCCTGAAGAATTGTGGTCTGCTGGAGGAAGAGGTTCTTTCGGTGTTGAAGTCCCGTCCACAATGCATACGACATTCAGTGCAGAAGATATTGGACTTCATGGAGATGTTTCTAGGCTTAGGATTTAGCAGAGATGAGTTTAAGATGATGGTCAAGCGATTTCCTCAGTTCTTTGCATATTCTGCAGAGATGATTAAGAAAAAGTTTGAGTTTTTGGTGAAGAAGATGAATTGGCCACTAGAGGCTTTGGTTTTGAACCCTACGGTATTTGGATACAGCCTAGAGAACAGGATTTTGCCAAGGTGTAAAGTAATCAAAGCTCTCATGTCGAAAGGATTGATGAGTGAAAACCCTCCAATTTCATCTGTCTTGGTATGTCCTGATGACGAGTTCTTGAACCGGTATGTGATGAAACAGGACAAGCTTGTGCCTGAGTTGATGGCTATCTTCACCGGAGATCATAGTTCATAGTTGGAGGGAAAGTTTTTATTATCAGTGTCAGTTTCTGTAACCCATTTTTGTCATCTCAGTCTGACTTGGTTTCGATTGGTTTCTTATATACAATCCCATTGGGGAAATAACAAATTGTCACGTTTAAACTCCTTAATGCGACGTTTTGATTTTGATTTCATTTATACTTCCTCTGATTCATGTGGACCAAAAACATAAGATAATTTTCGTCTGTTGATATGATTTATACTAATGGTGTTTCTTGATAATCTATTATATAACTACTCCCAGCGTTACACGCGGTTAAATATTTGTTAAAAATTATATAAATTAGAAGAATATTATTTTCTGGTTAAAAATTGCTAATGATGATGTTTAATTTAGATTCCAATTCTGTTTTCTGTATGAAATAATATCTTTTTCTGTTTGTTAGTACTAATTCTAATTTTAGTAATATAAATTCATTTACAATTCTTTTTTTTTTTGTGTCAAACTTCATTTACGATTCAATTAACAAAAAACAACTGAATTGGTCTTTGGATTTAATTTTATATCGTAATAACCAAGTAAAATTTTGTTC